CTATCTTTCTTCAGTTACCTGACCTTCACGTCGTCCCAAGTCAAGGAGACCGGGCTGGGAGAGGGCGCAGAATTTAACTTACACGTAGGCCAGTCACCCACTCCGTGGGTAGTCTTTGCTTTGAGTTCGCATCCCCAATAACTTCCATAGTGCCGTATTTTAGGCCTGAGGCGCGTGAGATAAGTGCCCAGGCGGGTTCTGGAATTGCAAGTCTGGCCTTACCTGTACTGTTGTACTGACTATTTGCATACTACCGAACAATTTCGCCTGAGGTAGAAATGCCCGTAGACAGGGTGAATGTGTTAGGCACTCGTGGTCAACTTTATGTCAGTTGTCATTATTATTGGATATCGGGTCTCCCCGCAATGTGTTTGGTGGTGACTGGTAAGAATATGTTACTAGATACAGATATAAAAGGTCAGACTGTGCATATACGAGATAATCACTGACATGAACTTGCAGGGATTTCTGTGCGTTTTGTCCTGATATGTCACTTGTTGTGGGTACCGATCAACCTCCGACGCGAGTGTGGTTTACTTTTACTTCTATAATAACTGAAGTTACTATAGAAGTCAAAATAAGTCGATGTTTTTTTAACTTAGACATATAAAAGTCACTATACTGTCAGTCATATCAGCATATACGTAGCCAGCATAAGAAACTGATATGCATTAAGCTGGTAATTTACAAAGCTATCAGTAAGTCAAACGTTGTTTCAAACAACTCAGATTACTATTATATGTTATCAATATAATAAGAGCAATAACCTTTTAAACTCCATTCGACACTGCCAAACTGCCTAGAGTACCTTATTGTACAGAAGCAAAACAATTACGAGGAGCTACTACCAGATCCGTTAAATAATATTAGTTAAGTAGCACAAAGTTTTGCAAAAGCTATAAAGTCTACAAATGGCGCTCCACTCACAACGAATACCTATTTCCATGCAACTATTCGTTTTGTAAGGGATAAATCTACAAAATTAAAATCCTCGAATTTGAATAAAGTGCACTTGGAGCAAACGAAACACATTTAAGTTACGACATATGAGACAAGAAGATGTTTAACACCATCTACATAATTATATCCACAAAATATTTAGAGTTGAGACAGTCCAAGTAAATGAGGTGGTACTGACAAAGACTAGGGAGACCGCAATGGCTTATAAGCCGTCGTCAGTTACCACACCCAACCCAAGTTTGTGTTGCAACCACTGATGCTTGATCCTGCGCCAGGGATTCGTCCCGTCGCTTGTGATCGAGCATATTACTTATGTTAGTCAGGTATTTCCCAATCCCGCAACGGAACGAGCTTTTTCCACTAAGCTTGAGTAGGCCTGTCTAAATTTCATAACTATTAATGATCGGGCTTCGACCAGCGTACATAGTATTTATAATCTAGGCATATTGCCAGGGTCATATAGCTTTCTAAAACATATAAGTGTAGTTTCGGTAGCTTACAAGGCCAAACGCATAGATTGCGATACAGCGTAAACCGTTCTTACGCTTTCCCCCTTAATCGAATTGTTTTAGAAGCCCGCCTTGAAGAATGCGGTCTATTCTTCAACATAGTCGATTCATTTTGGCTTAACTACCAATTGCGAAGTTTAAGGCCTACAGAACTACCGCGTTGGCGGTGGTCTTTAGGATCCATCCTAAACGTTGTTAACAGTCTGACTATCAGCCTGCTGAAGGAAATTCACCGATCGAAACCATAAACTCTCTTAGATTGAAAATATGGCCTTATTACACGGGTGGCATTCCCTCCGCTGTAAGGATTAACCAATTTGAACAACTACATTGAGAATTATCTTCCAGGACAGGTACCTTTAGACAGAAAGTCGTAAGAGCTTAGCAATATAGAGGGCAAGGTCCCTTCCAACAAGCGTCTGTACAAGCGTTTTCAATCTGACTCTAACATTAACATACAGTTTCGCACAAAGAGAACTGTGCCCAAGCTGCCACCAAGATGATTTGGCTGAGAATGAATATGGCTATTTCAGTGGATTGGACACGTCATCAGATTTTAAAAGCTGTCTTAGAGGATAAAACATATGCCTTGTGTAATTCGCTCATGAGAATTAAGGCTATGGAAATTCTTCTACCTGAATTATATGCCCAAAAGCTCTGCAGTAGTCACACGACCGCTAAATAGGCTGCACATTCTCATACGCCGACATTTTCCCTGCACACAGTGTGACATCTCGATCAAAGGACCACGTTCCCAGAAGGCAGCAAACTAATGTCATGTGCTGCATTGCGCACTTTCACGTACACGTTGTCCCTACAGGTCGGCATTTAAGAACTGCTCGTCGCCATTTTTTTTCCTCCACCCACGTGCATGCCTCTGCTAGCGACCATCGCTCCAACTGTGACAACGCTGTAGTGCCGTCTATCGGCAGTACAAAGTAAGGCATGATAATCTTCTGCGGCCTTTGACTTCCGTCCAGACAGTATAAACTGTCATCTACTTCTGCAGCCACATTAGGAAGCAATAAAGCAGAGGCATTTTGTATTAGACACGGGAGACATTGGTCCAGTGTAAATAACTGCATAAAACCCTTGTAAGAGGTTCCTAACTAGACATTTAAATATAACGGAATACAAAAATGCAGTCGCTTTTGAGCAGTCATATACAGATTTATTCTGCTGTGTTTAGGCTGTACTCGAATCTGTGATCTTGGTTAGCTCCTACCTAAAAAATTTTCATATGAATTCAAATTTAACCGTCAGCAGATTGGTATTTTTACTAAGTGTACGAAAAGAAACGTGGAAGGCTTTCATCCTCCTTAATACATACTGACAAAGTTTGAACATGAAGACAACGCAACGCTTGACAGGTTTTTACATTAAGCTGAACTGCCTTGCTTCGACAAGTGCTTCCCCGTCCTCCTCCCCTCATCATGCCCCATCGCCGCAGCATGGGAAGCTACCTCCGACTTTGTGTCTAGCCT